CTCTATACATAATATAGTTGTCATGGTTAAGACTTACCGCAGTAAAGGACACGATATTCCTTCCAGTGTAGACTTCAAATAGGCTTTTCATGGTATCATCGAAGTCCTCCAGGTCCACGTCATCCAGATGAACTGCATTGGCCAGGCGATATTTTCGAGGTATCACTTTCACTATAGATGTTAACACTGCGGAGGCCGCGAACAGAATGAGGCCGGAGCTGGGGCCAGCGCCTCTATTTATAGTCCCCGAGTAAAGAGAAGAGCAGAGAAAGTGAGAGCGAGAGCATAACAGAGAAAGCATTATTACTAGACATAGGCACAGAGATAGAGAGAATGAGTGAGAGGCTCACCCATTTAACGATCGTTTCGATTAATAAAATTAAAACCGATCGACTCGATGCTGATCAAGAATATATATACACTATATATTTTCTGAAATGGGCAATTCCCTTGAGAAATTTCATTTGAACACGTACCCTTTAATTTTCACGTAATGTGCACAATTATTATGCAACAAGTTTTGTCTGAGGAAATGTTTTTGCAGGCGGGCCTCCTCTCTGCTTATTCATGTGGGAAATGTAAGATTTGAATTTCCCTAAGAAGGGTAGTTCTGAGGAATGTCAACACCAGACTTTTCCAGCATTACCCTAACAACCATCCCTCTGCCTTCAAATGCAGTTTCGCCTTGGGCGCATTTTCCGCATTTAAGCCAAAAAGGCAAAATGTCCTTTGGGAAGCCGTCGACGGCAGCCGTTGAAAGCTTATAAAGTGCAACAGCAATGCGGCAGTCAGCGTGTGTTTGCGAGTGTGTTTAGGCCGCTACGTGACTGTCCTGCCAATAAACCCGAATGCAATGGCAGAATGGCGGGGCCAAGAGGGGGGATTAAGACGGGTTACGACCGGGTTAAGGCTGAACGAGGTTGCCGCTAAGCGCCGCTGATGAAGTCGCGTCGAAAATGCAACGTTGCAATTTACCAAATTGAAAACATGAAAGCGAAGGTGCTGACACAGCCAGCACTCGGCGGCAGGAAAGCTGCAAAGCTACAAACTAGCCGCAAAGTTAATTTGGCTCACTCCTTGGACATCCTGCCGCTTCCCGCCTGCCGCCTGCATCAGCGTCAGCATCATCATCATCATCATTCCCTTTGGCAAAACCGCCATTTCCATTGCACGCACGTCATGTAATAGGCACTTCCGCTGGCAAAATGGCAACAATGCGGGAGTGAGGTGAGGATTGGCTGCTCCTGCTCTTGGTGGGGAGTCCTTCGTGTTTGTGATTGTGTTTGTGTGCTAGTAATTCCGTAATTTCGAAACGTGCTAGCCAAGTGCACAGCCACAATGCCAACAATGCACTAAGAAAACAAAGTTGTAAGGTTGGTGTAACAAAGTTTAATTGTTACAAAGTATGAAAAATACTTCCCTAGGTCCTTCCCTAGAATGAATTTAGGTAAGCTTTGAAGATCATTTTCAGACTAAAAAGTAACTTTTGTTCACCGTGGTATATATTCTGAATATTAAAAGGCTTATTCATAAATAAATTCTTAAGATCATACCTTCCTTAGTCTTTCAAATAACAGAGGTTATTACATTTTCCCAATTTTGACAATTTCTTTCCGTGCACATTCCCCTTTCACCGTCTATTTATGGTTGCCACGTTGAGCGATGCAGGTGCGCAGACCAGGTGTTTCAGTTGAGTGCAGGACGAAGGGCAGTCCTTCGTCTACCTGTCCATTGTCCGAATGTCCGACCGCAAGTCCCGTCCTCCAGTCATTTGCATGCCCCGACTTGGGCTAATGACTTGCGCCACGCCGCACCGCACCGCAGACTGCATCCTGCCTCGTCCTCATCCTGTGGCCTGTGAACTGCAACCTGAAACCTGCAAAACCCCCCAGTTCGTTGGCGCTCACACGTTCGCGGCGCACTTTAATTAAAAATAACTACCGCCGATGGGTGGCGGCGAGTACCAGCGGCAGCGGTAAAAAACTTGCACATATTTTTTAATTAAGGGAAATATGAGTGGAAGCTCCACTCCACATGGCGCTACTGTCCTCTGTGTGCATTTTGCCGATTTGGAATAAATACTGGCGGGTTTAATTTGCACAGCGCGGCCACAACTATTTCGCATGTTGGCGGGACATTACAAACGGGGCTATAATCAGAGGGCTTAGACTATGTGAAACTCGCTAATTAGTTTGGGGTTCCTGGGAACTCTCGGGTTCCGGTTCCACAAAGTATGCTACAGTTTTGCGACAAAGCGGAAAGGGGAACCTGGAGCGGAATTATTCGATATGCATGAGTTTCTATTTGGAATATTCTCTTTTCTATATAAGTATAAGTACTGTTTACAATTTCGAGTAGTTTTCCCCTTTAAATACATGTACATATTTAATCAAATATTTTGCTTTGTTTTGGTGGAAAAATCTCTCCCTACACACCCTTATTATTTCATCAGTAAATATATGCAGGCCATATGAGGCCAGGACTCTGCCATTTTGTATATCCTGAGGCCGGTGATTTCCGCTGCTCATTTCCGGAACTAGAGTGCGTGACCCGCAGGATAATGCATCCGCTCTGGCCCCAAAACATAATATTCCCCTGCCTCATTCGTAGCTCTAATTGCTGTTGTCGAAATTAGGGAACAGAATATCTGTCGGTGGTGGCTTCCGGGGACGGAGGAGTGTCGCAGCGTCAATGCTCAATTTGAAATTATGCAAATGTTGACTTGGTTGACGGACAGAGAGCCAGAGAGTGGGCTTCGTTAAACCGCTTTGCGGCAAACTAAACGCTTTACCAAATGCAGAATTTGCATGGGTTTAATTACGACTAATTGTTTGCATTTTGCTGCAAACTTTTTGCATGCAGTTCGTAACGAAATTTCATTTGGCATGTTAAGGGGGGAACCCAGTAAATTTTCCGAATATATACATTAATTTAACGTGCTTGCCCAGGCAGGAATGTGCATATTTGTTCAAGTATTTAAGAGATTTAGTGCAGCAAAACTAAATATTTCCCCGAAGAATGTATGTATACACAAATCAGGTTCATTAAACAAAGTAAAGTTAATTAAAAATCAACTGTATAATCAACTAGGTACCCATTCTCTCCTCTCTATATACTTTATCAACTTAATTGTTGTTCAGTTCGAAACACAAATAAGCTTATAATTTCACTTGCTCGGAGAGTTGGTAACTTCATTTTCGATTTATGGCCATGAACGAAGGTCACCGACGGTCCTCGCCGGGCTATATAAAGGCGCAAAGAAAAATTTGTTAACCGAAGTGCGCATTAAACTCTTAATCTTTAGTGTTGACATTAAATTTACAGTAGCAACTAAGCTGTGAGTGCGTGGGGGGAGTGAGGACGGGCAGAGTCCCGGCGAGAACAAAGCAATTTCACAGGACACCCCAGGACAAGCCAGAGGACACGCCAAACGCAAACACACCACACCATCTCATCGGCAGAGTGGAGTTCAGGAATTTATTACCCAATTTGAAATTGCAAACGAGTGCGTGATAAAGTCCTGCTTTATACTGTTATACTTGTTCTTGTTTGCTCCTGGCCAAGTCTTGGCTCTTGGTCCAGTGTTTTATTCAAAAACACCATTGTTTATGCAGCCGAGAAGCGGACAAACAAGTGCAGGCTGCATGCAAAGTCATTGCTGGTCAAGGTGCCTGAGTTTGGGCACTGCAAAAAATTACATTTCGAGTAGATTTTAAGCTAATAATTGCCAGAAGCTATATCGTATTAAAATTAAACCAACAGCTCCCCCCACACAGCTCCCTTTAAAAGTGTATAAAAATATTTTCATTGTTTAGAAGTTTCCACTATTTCTTTCTGTATAAAAAGCCATCTAAGGATATGACCCGAAAATAAACTGAACTCGACCATGTTAAGGGCAAAACTGTTGGCACACTTTGATGCTGCTTTATGACGCCCAGATGAGATTGGCTTGCGGTTTATATAGTATAGCACCGTATCTGATGCAAGTTGCAAGTTGCATTTTCCGGCTGCTCGTTGCACGTGGCAAGCGCCGAAAGTGTTTTCCATGCAAATGTCGAGAGCCATTTCAATGCAAATGCGCACAAATGGTTACGTTGTTTTCCCCAGCCCACCTCCTCTCAACCTTTCTACAGTTTTCATTTTAAATATTTTTCCAGTTACCATTTTTCTGTTTTTTTTTTTGCGTTTGGAAATGTGAATGCAAGCCGACATCGTCGCCCTTTGAGTTTCGAGTCCTGGTTTTTGCATTTGACGTCAGCTAAAATTACCTTTGGCCCTGCTAACCGGCGGTCATAAATTTGTGTCCCATTGAAGCATTTAAATATATTTCCATTTCGCTTTCGGGGCGCGATTTTCAAGAGATTTCCCACATCGCCGGCGGGGGATAAGCGAATTTATTACCCGCAAATAAATTCAATGTGATACATTCACATTTAGGAATTGAAAAGGCAGCCGAGAAAAGGACGCTTAAGAATTGAATGAAAATCTAGATTTTTTTGGGATCGCCAGCCATGTGTGAAATTTATGTCTAGGGAATTTGTAGGGCACATCTCCTTTTGTTGAACTTTTTATTATTTTCTAAAAGCTTAAATTGGTTTATTGAATTAAAGATATCTTATACAGAAATATGTTTGAATTGCCCGAATTAAATCCATGGAAATTCTATTTAAAAATCCCAACCAAAAACCCATGAAAAATCCTTCATAAAAGCCAAGGAAAACTTGCCGGCAACTCATTAATTTTTAAGCAACTGATAAGAAGATATTGTAGGTGGACCAGGGGCAGGAGGAGCAGGACTCCCACTCTCAGGGTTAATAGGTCGGGAGTGGGGCCACGCCCAGCTCATCTAGAATTTCGAAAGCGATTCGCTTAATGGCAGCCAGCCATTAGCCTCGAGTGCCTTGAGATGTGGCCCAAAGTCGCGTCTAAACTTTCCATTTGTTCCCATTTAAGCCGCCATCAAATAGTAACTTTTACAATGTCTTTGCTTCTCTTTTCAGGCTTTCCCGGCTTTCCCGCTCTCGCAGTCATAGGAAAAATTCAACGGTTAACCGGCGGAGTGGACGCATTTAAAGACAAACAAAAGTGGAGCAGACGTGCATGAAGCCAAGACGATGAGTCTGTCCCATCAATTACCTGGCCATTAAAGTTGAGGACCGGAGAGCAACAGGTAAGTCCCGGACAGTGATGGCAATTTATTCTTTTTTAAAGGATGGAATTTATCTTGTTTCTAATAAATTAAAGTAGTTATAATACGAAGGGAGTATTGATGATATTATTAACAAATATGTATCTTAGATATTCTTCTTTAAATAAATCCCTCCTTAGTTTATATAGTCCTCTTATCAATTAGTCTTAATACCTCCGATATTTTCCTTGTTCCGGTTGTTCCAACCAGATTACTGTCAGCACTGTGGTCGGGTAAAGCTCCTGGAATCCTGGTGACCTGGTCCCATAAGTGGGCGCGTACGTGACTTAATCAGCGGGCGCAGCTGGAGCTCTGAGTCCCGGCTAACGAGGCCAACGAGCCACGAGGTGGAGCAGGAGCAGGAGCAGGAGGAGGAGGAGGAGCTTGCAGAGCTGTATCCTGCCCGCAATGATTTCATGCACGGCACAGTGAGCAGCAGCAACATGACAGATTGTGGCGGCGCCGCAGCTCCGGTGGAAATAAGCACCACAGCCGCCACAACGTCGGCGACGTCCTCGGCATCGTCGTCGTCGTCCGCATCGAAACCGCTGACCAATGGCGCCAACAAGGCGGCCACGTCAACAGCAGCCGGGGGAGGAGGAGGAGGAGCCGGAGCCGGAGCCACAGTCATCCCCACCAGCAGTAACAGCAACAGTAGCTCCAGGAATACGTTGGACCATCACCGGCAGAGCAATAACAATCGACCTGCGGTCAGTCCCAAGCCAGATGTCAGGCTAAGATCTCCGGATCTGGGGACACCTGTTGCCTCCACATCCGCCTCGGCACAGGCCAGCAGCCAGACCCAGACATTGGGTCCACACGAGAGGCTGGCCAAGACGGCTGGCTCCTCGGCATCCCAGCAGGATGTCGATGAGGTGGCCAAGCTGTTCGAAGAGAAACCGGAAGCCTTTGAGAAATGGTTGACGGAAAGGGCACCGCCGGAAGCACTCAGCCGACTGCAGGAGTTTATAGAGAGCCGGAAGCCGATCAAGCGACCCTCGGTCACATCCGATCTGTTCCAGCAATGGATGGCCGCCTCGCCCACCGTGCAGCAGGTAAGTCTCTTTAAATAAAATTAAGATTTATTAAGGGGAAACACAGGGTAGAAATTGAGGGACATCATTTTAATTTTTACTTGGGCTAAAGTTAATTGAAAGTAGTTCTTTTTGGCACTAACTTTTATTACAATCACACTTAAAACGTGCTAAGCCTCTGGGCAACAACTGAATCAAGTTCGTTTTAGTTGCAAGCAATTACACCTTGCCCCAAAGCCAAAGAACTTTAATCAAAGTTGTTCTAGCACTTGTGTCCTGGCCGAAATTAGTTTTTGTGGCCCAACCAGAGGGTGCCATTATATTATTTCTCCACTTCCTGTGGAGAACCCCATCCAACCCCGCCGTCCCATCTATTACATCCTTACACCCGCAGGACAGCCGCCAAACAATGGCGACGGGTAAGTGCAAGTGCAGCGCCAAGTGGCAGTGGCAATTGCAGTTGGTAGCGGCTTTTAGCCATCCCTTTTTGCCACTCTCGCAGACACAAATACAGACACACATTCAACACTAGTCAGGGCTTTATTTGCGCAGCTCCTGCCACTATTTGAGCTAGTATTTGTATTTGCGCTGCTTTGTTTCGTCCTGTTTTGTTGTACTTTTGGCACTGCTGCTGCTGCTGCTGTTGGATTTCCGCTTTTATTTAACTTTGTTCGCTTTCTCGCCGGGCGAATTAACTAAATTGATATTTTCACAAATTTCTGCTTGTCTTGTCGGGGGCCTGCGTGTGAAGTTTGCTAATTGGAAAAACTCACACAGCCACAAGGATTGGGATGTGAACTTAGAGTGGCACACATTTCCACTGTGCTGGCTTTTACGGCCCGCCTCTGCTTATATTTAATTCAGGGCAGTAAAAATTAAATTACCCCCGCACACACATATTTATTTTATATTTATCGACAGCCACGAGTATTTTTCAATTAACTTTTATTTCGATATATATGTATATATACGGGAGAAACATAAAACAAAATGCGGCATAGATTCTACCTACACACACACACAGCCTGACCTTTGCCGTTTAATAAATTTCACAGAGCAAAAGGCTCGTGTGTGTGTGGGTTTTAATAAATGTGAATTGGAAAACGATAGCCTTTGATTTGTGGATATATTAGAATTTATACATGGAGAGCTACACCTTGCCTTCAGGATATTACTCCTTAAGCTTTAATTCAATTTATTTATAAATTCAAACCTTCAAAGTTCTTGTGTTAATATACATTAAAAACCTCCCTTAAGATATCCGATATTCTATGTATTTTCCACTCAAAACAAAACTGTCTGTGAACTCAATTACTGGAAATTCATTTATTTACTTGTGTATTCGATTGCTCGTGTTAATGGCCATCAGATAGGTGCTTGAACTCGAGGACTGAATTGAAGTCCTTTGACCCACCCGTTGCCCGGGCCAACAACTGTCATCGAGACTGCGTTTCTTTTTTGTTTTTTCCAACCATGTTTACGAGTATTTGCCTGAAAAATCAAACCAAATTATGTTAGATCGTATGTACTTCCCCTAGTATGGAGTGCTCCTCGAATGCAATTGGTTGAGCAAAAACACTGGGAAAATACCAAACAAGAAGGGCTCTTTAGGTCCACATAGAAATCGGCACTCACCTGGTGCTCACTGCACTTGTGAATCAAAACTAAAAGCCAGTGGCAGGGCACGTGTGTTTGCTTTTTGTTTGTTCGGAAGGGGGAAAAGGAAAACCCGGGGGTGGGGGATGGAAAACTAACTAGGCCAGGCTAAAGGTAACGGGCAAGTGTCCTGGGCAAAACAACAATAAGGACAACAAAGAATAACTGCCTTGCCTTTGAGACCCTTCAGCGATTGTCTGGCTTAGTGAATGCAATTTTTCCCCACCTCACAGTAGGTGAGGAGTAGGAAAATGGCACCACGTGTCCCGCCCGTCTGTCTCTCCCTCTCCCTCTGCTTCCGTTTCCGCTTCCATTTTTCGTTGTCGATATTGTCAATTTATTTAAGTGCATGTTACGCAATGCAAACTGCAGTCCCCATTCGGGGTATTGTGCAGTTCTTAGTCTCAGCTGTGTATTGACTGTAAATGTATCTGTCTTTATATCAGATGCACAGCGAAAAAATCTAAGAGATTTAACGATATTTTATTATATATATATATATTTAATTAAAAGAAAGGTAGTTATATGTAAATAACATGTAAACACATTTTAAATTACAGTAACTATACAGGTTTTAAATTCTTTCCTTTGAAAAAATCAAGTCTTCTCTACTTAAAATACACAAATATGGAATCTGTCGTCATTGCAACTACATAGTTTAGTTAAGATTTTTATAATAAACCTTTCATGTTAGTAATTATATTTTAAGTTTTATTTAAGAGATATACATATGCAATTTTCTTGGTGTCTTTATATGAGCTCCCTGATAAAGTCCAGAAATTTACATGGCACGCAGAATGCTTTTCCCATTAAGAGTCATTTCGTTTTCATGTTTTCACTTTCTTTCTCAAAAAAATAAAAATAATACAATAATAAAAACAGCACGAGTGCTCAACATCGTTTTGTGGATTTTATTGTTGTTTTAAGGGGAACGAACACCCATTGCCACTGGCTGAAGTTCAAATTTACTTAACGCTCTGACTGGCTTGGCTTTGTTTTCCATTTTCATGTTCATTTCCATTTCCAGTTTCCCTTATTTGTCTGCATTTTATTTAATGAATTTGCATTGCGCCCGCACACAAACAAAAATGTTTTTCTAACTTTCAGTTCAATTCAAACATTGGCTTTTTTAAGGGACTGTCCTTTTTTTGGGGTTCTTTTTTATAGGGGAGTTTTAATCACTTAATTATCATTGTAAAGTATGAAAAGCTTAGGGAGAATAATGGGGAGAAATGTATAAAAAATAACAATCAATATACATAGTCTGCTAATTAAAGTGGAAGCCATTAAATAGTTGTTAATGTTAGGGATTAAAAATGTCAGAAAAGTTAATGAATTATTGAAAATAAGCGGCTTGAATTAGATCAACAAAACATATTTAAAGCAAATTATAGTACTTTATAACGTTATTAGAAAAGGTAATTAAGTATATATAATATTTTAAATAATTAGTATACAATCAGTATATGGGCTATTTATTATTTATGTAGAGAACATTTAACATAAAACCTATAAAAACGGATTCAAAACAAACTAAGATAGTTGTGGCCTTACAAGTGAACTACTTATTTTTAAACACATAGCAATTATCGATATTCCGGGGACATGTGGCACATGGAAATGTTGATGGAGCCAAGGGCAGCACCGCCAGTAAATTGCTTTAATTTGTCAGTGAAAATGATGGTGGAATTGGGGTGCCCCCAGGATGGGGACATGGCACGCAATATTTCCAGCTCCCGGCTCGGTTAATTGGCCACTCGCACGCACAGGGGTCAGGAATCGGGGATCTGGGATCCGGGAGCCCCCTTTTTCGGTATTCAATTACCACATGGTAGCTTAAAGGCACAACAGTTGCCAACTGCTGCTAATAGTCACCCTTTGAGCCGGACCACGTTGGCTTCCAAAATGCCAGCCGGGGTTAAATGGCCAGCCCAGAAATCGAAAACAGAAGAATAATGGAACGTGAGCGGAGACAATGGACGCCATTGCCTTAACTACACTGTTAAATATTTAAATAGCTCTCAGACTCTCAGTCTTGTCCAATAATAATAATGGTGGCTAATAAAGCTATTTTTATATGGGAACTAATTAAATGGCGAAATTATTCCGCGTTTCGGTGCCAAAAACAAGCAAATTCAATTACCGAAAGGACACGTTTTTGCACTCAAAGAAAACTGTAAAAAGAAAATGGTTGAACATAAGGAAACTTGGAACTCAATGAAGTTTTTATTTAAAACAAATAATGAATTAAATATTTACTTTAGATAGTTAATATTTTGGTGGCAATTACCTTGGATATTAAATGGATTTAAATTGAAAATACTCTCAATATTTCCAAGTGTTTTCTGCTTCCTAGCACTGCCTCAATCTAAGCCTTCTATTAACGTTTATGGTTGTTCTCTTCCCCCAACTTTCGCCTGCAGAAATCACCGAGAAGCCTCTCGAACTCATCAGCCTCCTCGATACCCGAGTGCCGGCGGCATCTGATGGACCTGGACGAGGGCGAACTGTTCATGGAACTGATTCGGGACGTGGCCAACGAGCTGGACATCGATGTGCTCTGCCACAAAATTCTGGTGAACGTGGGCCTGCTGACCCACGCGGATCGTGGCTCACTGTTTCTGGCCAAGGGCACGCCCACCAACAAGTACCTGGTGGCCAAGCTGTTCGATGTCACCCAAAAGACAGGTGAGTTGGCAATCGAAAATGTCCTCCCTCCTGGCGGTGCCTGTGGGCCAGATCCCAATGGCACAGGTAATCCCGCTTTAATTAAGGCCAACAATGCACAAAGTGAACTACAACACACAATGGTCCAAGAAAACACAGCACAGAATGAAGAATGGAAATTGTGCAAATGGAAAACGGAAAAGGGGAAAATGGGAAAGAAACGTAAGACGAGTCAAGTGCTCTGTGGTTTCAACAAGTGCAGGGGAAGAGTTGAAGTGAAGGACACTGATAGCAGCTAGAAAACATGTTTAAATGACAGGAACAAGTTGTCAATAGATAAGATACAGAAATTCTTACTAGTTTGAGCATTTTGTTTACAGTTTGCTTCTTTTTAAAGATTCAATAAGCTATATTAAGCAGTCCATTAATTACCGACTTTTTGATGAGAAGAAGCAATGAAAGACAGTTAAACTTTCCCTTTCAAATGAAATTCGATAAAAATGATTAAATTTGACCCTTTTTAAGGTGATTTTTGATGGGCTTATGGCCAAAGGCGCTCAACGAGTATAAATTGGTACTCATTAGCGGCCGGGTAAATAATTTCGAGGCCTGTCTCTGCGTGGCCAGCAGGAAAAAGGAATGCGGACTGCCAACGCATTAGCAAAATTAAGCTCAAACGGAAACGGAAGTGGGCATTAAAAGTTTTCGGCAGTCCCGGCAGGCCATAAAACTGCAAAAAGGTCGCCATCAAATGGTAAATAGATATAGGATGTTGGCCAGGAACGTGCCTCGTCCCTGGGTTCCGCCCAGACCTTATATTCATATGAAAGTGCGCTACATTCGTAATGAATCTTCGGTGCAGATCCGTGAGTAAAAGCCACCGCTTCCGCTACATAATTCAGTGGGGAAAATGCGAGAAAGATTAGAGCTGGGAAATGTTTGTTGCGGAAGGGAGGTGGCACCAGTGGGTGGTGGCCCCAGATACAGATACAAGATACAAGATACGAATGCGGATGCGGATAGGGATACATGTGAGGCGACGCTGTGTGGGACACTGAGATTATGATTGAGGCGGGACCGGCAAGAGAGCTCATGCAAATTCACATTTGACTTCTTGCCCTCGGATTTTGGATTTCACGGGGCCCTCGCCATTATTTATTTATATATTATTCTCTCTCTCTCTCTCGCTGTGCTTTTTTTCAATGTTTTTGCCAAGGCCCAGCAGCGTTCTTGTGTATATATCTTTTGCATGGCAGAGTGAATATTTTGCCTATAAATTTAATATTTATTCAGATGCATGACGACGGGCCCTTATCTCGGGCCTATCCTAACACGCTTTGCAACGCTTGAGCTAATTTTTGGGCAGTATCTCGGGAAAAAGAAGAGGGGGTTCTGGGTGCTTTAATTTCAATTGTAGTGAAATTAATATTTCATGGGAGCGAAAAACTAAACTAAACTCACAACACTCTTCTCAAGAATACGTATGTATCTCTCACAATCACAAGTAATGTCATCATCAAAATGTTAATGCTTAGAATGAAACCATCCTTAAATCAGTGATTTTTTTATTCATGCTTTTTGATGGCGATTTCTTTCCTCCTGATTGACTCTCGTTTGAATATTCTTTGATTGCAGCACTCAAGGACGCGGTGACTCGGGCCAGTGCCGAGGAGATTATCATTCCCTTTGGCATCGGCATTGCCGGGATGGTGGCGCAGACAAAGCAGATGATTAACATCAAGGAGGCGTACAAGGATGCGCGATTTAACTGCGAAATCGATCTGAAGACCGGCTACAAGACCAATGCCATCCTCTGCATGCCCATTTGCAATTACGAGGGCGACATTATAGGTGTGGCGCAAATCATTAACAAAACGAATGGTAAGGATATCATACAGAGTTCCTAAAGAATTTATCCATGCATTTAATTATTTATTTACCTAAAGATGTCTCACATTTCATTAACTATTAATATATGAATTATTTATCATCTTTCTCCCTATTAGGCTGCATGGAATTCGACGAACATGATGTGGAAATCTTCCGTCGATATCTCACTTTCTGCGGCATTGGCATCCAGAATGCCCAGCTGTTCGAGATGTCCGTCCAGGAGTATCGACGCAACCAAATCCTCCTCAACCTGGCCCGCAGCATCTTCGAGGAGCAGAACAACCTCGAGTGCCTTGTCACCAAAATAATGACGGAGGCCAGGGAGCTCCTTAAATGCGAACGCTGCTCAGTGTTTCTTGTGGACCTCGACTGTTGCGAAGCGGTGAGTTTTTACACTGTACATAAATACAATCAATGTGAATATTAAATAAGCAAGTAGGAAATAATCTAAATTCAGAAAGCCAAAGTTTGTATTACACATTGATCATGAAAATCATCATAACTCAGTTAAAAATGCATTAATTTTAAATTGAAAAGCGTTCCGATGCTAGTTTTTAATAGATTAACAAATCTGCATACTCAGTTTTGAGAATTAACAAATTCAATTTTTTCCCAAATTTTGACATTTTTAATGATGTAACCCCTTATAGAATTTTCAACTTTTGAAAAAATTTCAAAAACTTATTTTTTGGCCGGACATTACTTAATCGATTTGGGTATTGATTCTGAACAAGAATATATATGATCTATACGGTCGGAAATGGCTCCTTCACATGTTATAAGCTTCTGGCTAAAATTATAATACCCGTCTTTGAGTCGATATTTCTTATATTTTTATATACAAATTTTACGATAAATCAAAGTTTAAAAATTAACATAACATAACATAACTTAGCTAAAAAGCCATTAATTTTAATTCGGAAAGCGTTCCGATGCTATATTTTGAAAGGTTAACAAATCTGCATACTCAGTTTTGAGAATTACAAAATTCAATTTTTTGCCAAATTTTGGCAATTTTAATGATGTAACCCCTTATAAAATTTTCAATTTTCGGAAAAATGTCAAAAATTTATTTTTCGACCGGACATGGCTAGATCGACTGGGCTGTTGATGCTGGTCAAGAATATATATGGTTTATAGGGTCGGAAATGACTCCTCCACTGCGTTTTAATCTTCTGCCTGAAGCTATACTCTGCAAAAAGGTATAAAAACAGACAATTTTCTTAAATAATCTGAGTTTTCCAAACATCATAATTAAGCCAAAATAGCATTAATTTTGATTCGGAAAGCTTTTCTGTGCAAGTTTTTAAAGCACTAACAAATCTGCATACTGCGTTTGTTGATGCTATTGTCAGTTTTTGACTAAAATCATAAGAGCCTGCAAAAAGGTATAAAAACGGACCATTTTTCCGAAAAATCATAGTTTAAAAAAACTATTAAATAATCTGAGTTTTCCGAGCATCATAATTAAGCCAAAGCAGCATTAATTTTGATTCGGAAAGCTTTTCTGTGCAAGTTTTTATAGCACTAACAAATCGGCATACTGCTTTTGTTGATGCTGTTATAAGTTTCCAACTAAAATTATGATAACCTGCAAAAAGGTATAAAAACAGACAATTTTTCCCAAAAATCATAGTTTAAAAAAACTCATAACTAAGACAAAAAATCATTAATTTTAATTCGGAAAGCTGTTCTATGTTAATTTTTAGTAGATTAACAAATCTGCATACTCAGTTTTCAAATTTAAAAAATTCAATTTTTTGTCAAATTTTGGCAATTTTAATGATGTAACCCCTTATAGAATTTTTAAATTTTGAAAAAATTTCAAAAATTTATTTTTCGGCCGGACATTACTTAATCGATTCGGCTATTGATTCTGATCAAGAATATATATGATCTATAGGGTCGGAAATGGATCCTTCACATGTTATAAGCTTCTGGCTAAAATTATAATTCCCGACTTTGAGTCGATATTTCTTATACTCTCCTTCTCTTTCCCTTGCTTTCTCTTATTTTCCTAAAGATACCTCTTACTCTATCTCTGGCTAGCTCTAGAGATGCCTCTTTCTCTTTAACTCTCGCTCTCCCCATCTCAAGCGCGATCACTTTCTCCCTTGCTCTCACTTTCTCCCTTGCTCTCATTTTCTCTGTTCTCTTTACTCGGGGACTATAAATAGAGGCACCTAGCGTGGCGCGTGCCTCATTCTGTTCGCGGCCTCCCTGGTGATTACATCTATGGCGACAGTGATAGTGATTACCCTTCGACCCAAAAGATATCACCCGACCAATGGAATATATCTGGATAACAAGGAAGGAACTGCAAGTGTGTACCAACAAGGGCTTCTCAAAGATAGTTTGCTTTCTTGTTCTTTTTAAAAATCTTTTAGATTAGATTAAGATTTTTTTTCTTATATATCCTTTTTTAAAATTATAAAATAACCGAGTATAAAACTAATTTTTTCCGGTGTACAAAATAACCCACAAAGGGGGTGATCTTGTGTGCCACTAACGTTGCTGCTCTCTTGTTGTTGCCATTGTTGGCGGTTCTTGGGCGAATCAAGCAAAGGTGTGGGCAGCCCACCTGCCTGCTGCAATGATTAAAAAGCAACATCGATGGGCAAACAACAAAAAAAAAGTCGGCACATCATCTATGCATGCATCCTTGTGTTGTAATGTGTGTGTGCGTGAGTGTGTTTTTTTTTTATACCCTTGCAGGGTCAGAAGTTTGCAACGCAGTGAAGGAGGCACCTCCGACTATATAAAGTATATATATTCTTGATCAGGATCAACAGTCGAGTCGATCTAGCCATGTCCGTCTGTCCGTCTGTCCGTCTGTCCTTCTGTCCGTCTGTCCGTTTCTACGCAAACTAGTCTCTCGGTTTTGAAGCTATCTGAATGAAACTTTGTAGTTAGCCTTCTATATACTCCCTCTCGTATATATGTCGGAACGGGCCGGATCGGACGACTATATCATATAGCTGCCATATGAATGATCGGAACAATTTTACAAATTTTAACTTTTTCAGTTTTCAATAGAATTGGATCAAATTTGAGATATAGCCATTTTGTTATACTCTACAATTTTGCATAAAATTTTATGAAAATGGGACTAATATATCTTATAGCTCCCATAGGAACGATCGAGAAATTAATACAATTAAAAATTATAACTTTTTCGGTTTTCAACAGATTTTCATCAAATTTGAGGTATATATTTATATTAGTCTTAAATTTTGTGTAAAATTTCATGAAAATCGGACGACTATATCATATAGGTGCCATACAAACGATCGTTTGATGTGGAGGAAAAATGCAAATCTGTGAATGTAAGCCGCAAATATAATATGTATAGGTAAATGCAATGAATGCAGGTATTACTTCATTGTTTTTTAACACAAATATATATAATTTATATTAGATGGATTCCTATTCATAGAAGTTCTATCTGCAAGGGTATATAAACTTCGGCGTGTCGAAGTTAGCTTCCTTTCTTGTTATATACAGATTTTACGATAAATCAAAGTTTAAACATTTCATAACTTAGCTAAAAAGCCATTAATTTTAATTCGGAAAGCGTTCCGATGCTATATTTTGAAAGGTTAACAAATCTGCATACTCAGTTTTGAGAATTACAAAATTCAATTTTTTGCCAAATTTTGGCAATTTTAATGATGTAACCCCTTATAAAATTTTCAATTTTCGGAAAAATGTCAAAAATTTATTTTTCGACCGGACATGGCTAGAACGACTGGGCTGTTGATGCTGATCAAGAATATATATGGTTTATAGGGTCGGAAATGACTCCTTCACTGCGTTTTAATCTTCTGACTGAAGCTATACTCTGCGAAAAGGTATAAAAACAGACAATTTTCTTAAATAATCTGAGTTTTCCAAACATCATAATTAAGCCAAAATAGCATTAATTTTGATTCGGAAAGCTTTTCTGTGTTAGTTTTTCTTGTACTAACAAATCTGCATACCGCGTTTGTTGATGCTATTGTCAGTTTTTGACTAAAATCATAAAAACCTGCAAAAAGGTATAAAAACGGACCATTTTTCCGAAAAATCATAGTTTAAAAAAACTCATAACTAAGCCAAACAATCATTAATTTTAATTCGGAAAGCTGTTCTATGCTAGTTTTTAGTAGATTAACAAAGCTGCATACCCAGTTTTCAAATTTAAAAAATTCAATTTTTTGTCAAATTTTGGCAATTTTAATGATGTAACCCCTTATAAAATTGTAAAATTTTGCAAAATTTCAAAAATAATTCTTTCGGCCGGACATTGGCTAATCGATTCCGCAATTGATTCTGATCAATAATATATATAATTTATGGGGTCGGAAATGACTTCGTCACTGAGTTTTAAGCTTTTGACTGAAATTAGCATACATTGCAAAGTATACACAGTGGGATATAAAATTGATATTGATTCATTTTTAGAAGAAAGTAAATTCTAGAAAATCTGGGATATATAACAGATATATTTTCACATTTACAATAAGCTGAAGCCCTATAAATCTATAAAACAAAATTGCCAAAACAATCGAACCTCAAAATACAAAGCCAATTGACTTCTCGCAGTATTTTCTCCTCTCTACTTCCGATTCCCATCGATTGAGGAATTAAAATTAATTTACTGGCATTTTTTCAGGCGGTTAAAGGTCCTCCATGCAAATGATTTGCTTGCCTTCGTGGAGGCGATCGCAAATTGTCGCCGCCATATGGAGCATGAATAAAAAGTGACGCCCTGCGGTGCCTGTGGTCACTCCTCTCCCACTCTCTCTCTCTCTCGCTCTGTCCGCCAATATTTCCATTTCCGTATCCGTGTTTGTGCCGCTGTCAGTTTCATTAAAATTGTTTAAACGCCATCGCGCGTCGGCCATTTTGTTTGTGCGTTTGTCAACTTTTCGCCCGGCGACCCCAAGGAAATTAAAATGTGCAATTTACATTATGTTACTTTGGGTGGGCGGGATCCCCACGTTTCCACGGGAGTGTTTTCCATTTTTTTTCATCTTTATTTTTGAACAAGTGTCAGGCATTCTGCGTGGAATTCTGACAGCAGCCAAGGGGAAATGTTTACGGCAATGGGTATGGTAAATACGAGCGGGATGGACGGGGAAAGATTATGCCCAGGTCTGGGCAATTTTCATTACGGCTCAAGTTTCCCGCTGATTGCCTGTCATTATTCGGAGGCGGCTGATTCAACTCACTGCCGCTCTCCATTATGATATTTTCCGGTATTTCCTCTAGATTGTAAATAAATCAACCAAATTTGAACAGGTTAGACACAAAAACTGACAGTTGTCAGTAGAACACGGAGGGAATAATTCATGAGAAAAACACGTCAAACCGTAATAACCCATTTTGGACGTTTAATTTTGTTAAAAGGAAGAATTATATTTCTTGATTATAAGAAAAGTTTGTTAACATAACAATAGAGTTAAACTCACAGCTATTTACAGGACTATTTTCATTGTTAATTTGGTCAATTGTTTAACTACATACACAAAAGCTTCGTTATTTAAAATATTTACAATGTATGTCCAACATTTTAAACTCAATTGTCTCTGACTAAACAAAAGGCTTATTATTTTATTTATAACACGAAATTTCATTATTCAACTTTATTACACACATCAATCTTTCAAAACCCGCAACAATACGCCTTTTTCTCTTTAAAATATCTCAATTTCATTCACTACAATTAATATTTACAATAAAGAAAACCATCATTGAAATAATTGAATAATATTTGTTCAGCTAATGAACTAAACTCAATAATGGAATGGCCTTTTGTTTCACTTCCCGACATTATTATTAATAATTGGGATATGTGGAGTGCTCTTTGCTGTTTAATTTGCTTAAATGCCATATACTAATTAGCCAGCTGATAATGCCAGTCCATGTCCGGGTAATGGACAATTTATTAGCCCATAAAGCTGGCTGGCCCAGGGGGCTTTCAGCCGGACTGAACTCTGAAAACTTGGCTGACATGCCCGTCATGTGCAACATGTCAGCTTAATTATGCTCGCAGGGGAGGTGGTTCTGCAGTTCTGCAGTTCTGCAGTGTTGCAGTGCAATTTATCAACAAGTTGGCTGCTGCTGCTGCTGGGGCGGGGAAAACTGTTAGGAGTTCCATTAGTGGCAGCCACTTAATGTCGTTTCCTCCTCTCCCTCTCTCGTTCCCAGAGCCATTTGGAGAAGATAATTGAGAAGCCCAATCAGCCAGCCACCCGCGCCATCAAGTCAGCCGACAGCTTCGAGGAGAAGGTAAGTTTGCCTCGAGTCCCCTTCAAGGATATTGATTCCTCACAAGGGATCCTTGTGTTTTTTTCTTTGGCAGAAAATGCGCAATCGTTTCACGGTTCTGTTTGAACTCGGCGGCGAGTACCAAGCGGCCAATGTCTCACGGCCTTCGATCAGCGAGCTCAGCACCTCGACCCTGGCCCAGATTGCCCAATTTGTGGCCACCACAGGGCAGACGGTGAACATATGCGATGTCCACGAGTGGGTCAGGGAGCACAATCAAATCAGAGCCGAGAGCGAGATCGATAGCACCCAGGCCATACTCTGCATGCCCATTGTCAATGCCCAGAAGACGGTGATTGGTGTGGCTCAGTTGATAAACAAGGTATGCAAAAGGAAACTTAAAATAATAATGATTAAAATATTTAATTGATATATTTAAATTTCTTTAGGCCAAGGGCGTTCCCTTTACCGACTCGGATGCCTCGATCTTTGAGGCCTTTGCCATTTTCTGTGGTCTGGGCATCCACAACACTCAGATGTACGAGAATGCCTGCAAGCTGATGGCCAAGCAGAAGGTGGCCCTCGAGTGCCTCAGTTACCATGCCACCGCCAGTCAGGATCAGACGGAGAAGCTTACACAGGATGCGATTGCAGAGGCGGAGTCCTACAACCTGTACAGTTTTACCTTTACGGGTAAGAGTATTTTATCTTCTAAATCCTACCAAATAATTAATTTATTATAAAAACGGTTTACAGACTTTGAACTAGTGGACGATGACACTTGTAGGGCCGTGCTGCGCATGTTTATGCAGTGCAATTTGGTCTCTCAATTTCAAATACCCTATGATGTGAGTTTCTCTAAATCTGTTAGTTATAATAAACCTCTTTAACTTTTGTTTATATATTTAAATATATAATAATTAATCCCTTTCTCAGGTCCTTTGCCGTTGGGTCTTGAGTGTCCGAAAGAACTATCGTCCCGTGAAGTACCACAATTGGCGGCATGCCCTGAATGTGGCCCAAACCATGTTTGCCATGCTAAAAACCGGCAAGATGGAGCGCTTCATGACTGACCTAGAGATCCTGGGCCTGCTGGTGGCCTGTCTGTGCCACGATCTGGATCATCGCGGCACTAACAATGCCTTTCAGACCAAAACCGAATCCCCGTTGGCCATTTTGTACACCACCAGCACAATGGAGCATCATCACTTCGATCAGTGCGTGATGATCCTCAACTCGGAGGGAAATAATATATTTCAGGTGAGATTATTATATCTTTATAAATGTATATTTTAATGGAAAAGTGTGTTAACAAAGTTCAGCTTAACCGCGGTAAACGCGAACGTTGCCGTTGTTTCTGGCCTTCTTGCTCAAGTTTCGCTTGATGGCCTTCCTGACTGCCTTGCCGGCACGAGCCTTCTTGGCCTTGGCCAGGCGAGCCTTGCGGGCCCTGGCACTGCGGGAACGGGTGCTCGTTGAGGCCGTGGTGGATCCAATCTTGATCCTTCGAGTGACCGAGTATTTCAGGTTGCTGATTCGCACAATCCTGCCGGTGCCTGAGGACGAAGATGAGGAGGTTGTATCGGTCGTAGATTCCGTAGTAGTAGATTCAGTCGTAGTGGTTGTGGGGTCGCTAGATTCCGTCGAGGTAGTGGTATCGGCGCCCCATACATGGGCCACAAATAAGGCGGCCGAAAGGACGAAGAGAACGGTGGATGCCTTCATGTTGCTTGCTTCAATTGTAAACTGATATACCTTTTGCTGAGACAGTCGCATTTTTATACTACATTCACGATTGGCTAACGACCTTCAATTAACGAGAAACTATATTCTTATTTACTGAAAGATCTTGGAAAGTGAGACCACCTTGACTCCGATAAGATGTGAACTTTTGTTTAAGCACATGTCTTCGGAGAAGGTGACGTCATGGGTACAGGTGTTTCTGGGATACCAACTTAAGAATATAATATCTATTTCTGGCATTGTTTAAGGTCTTATTTGCTTTTGCTTTCAGGCCCTGTCACCGGAGGATTATCGCTCCGTTATGAAGACTGTTGAGAGCGCCATTCTGTCCACCGATCTGGCCATGTACTTCAAGAAGCGAAATGCTTTCCTGGAGTTGGTGGAAAATGGGGAATTCGACTGGCAAGGCGAGGAGAAAAAGGATTGTAAGTGGAACTTATTACCATACCCTTTCTTAATAATTAATTAATACATTTACCTGTTTTCAGTACTTTGTGGCATGATGATGACGGCCTGCGATGTGAGTGCCATTGCCAAACCCTGGGAGGTTCAACACAAAGTGGCCAAGTTAGTGGCCGATGAATTCTTTGATCAGGGAGATCTCGAGAAGCTGCAGCTCAACACACAGCCAGTGGCCATGATGGACAGGTGAGTGGAACTATTACTCCTTAACAGAGCACTACTTTGGCAAGCTTCGTTTTATCGAATGCTTTGCATGGGCACCTCTGCCTCAAATTATCTCTTAATTAATAATAATTTGATAGGGAACGCAAGGACGAGCTACCCAAGATGCAGGTGGGCTTTATCGATGTGATCTGCCTGCCTCTGTACAGAGTTCTTTGCGACACTTTCCCCTGGATCACTCCCTTGTACGAGGGCACCCTGGAGAATCGACGCAACTGGCAGGATTTGGCCGAGAAGGTGGAGATGGGTCTCACCTGGATCGATCACGATACCATTGACAAGCCGGTGGAAGAGTTTGCCGCCTGCGAGGACGAGGAGATCAAGGACATTGAGTTCACGGTGACCACGCTCAACTGCAATCAGCAGTCGCAATCGCAGCACGGCAGCGAGGACAGTCACACGCCGGAGCACCAGCGCAGTGGCTCCCGGCTGAGCATGAAGAAGACGGGAGCTCTGGGTAAGGCCGTTCGTTCTAAGCTCTCGAAGACGCTGTACAACAGCATGGATGGCTCCAAGCCGAAGACCTCGTTGAAGCTCCTCGAATCCCACGTCAGCGAGGATATGGACGACAAGAGTCCGACGAGTCCGTCGCAACCGCAGGCCTCCGGCAGCATGGGCCGCATGTCCGCCTCCTCATCCACCTCGTCCGCTGGCGGCGGCGGCGTCGTTGGCGCCTCTGGACAGGTCCAGGTGGTGGACAAGTCCAAGAAGCGCTCCAAGCTGTGCGCGCTCTTATGACGAAAGCCGTCCAATTAGAATATGGCGACCCCCTCCAGCACTCCGGGCAGTGAGACTGACCACAAGTGCGGAGGGGGGATGACCGAGTTCTAATTGGCGTCGATTTTGCTAAAAGGTTCACACTAACTTGTTGCTCCTACCTGTATCTATTGGCCATGTTCACACATTCAAATCCGATTAGTTTGTGTCATTTTTTTGCTGGTAAAATTGCACTACTATTTTAGGGACCTAAAAGTTTTTCCAGAGAAATTCTTGGAAATGTATTTAAAAGTTTGAAACGTTATTTAACTCGTTTATAGAGAAATCAAGAAATTAAGATAACTTTGCGATAGCCAAAGTTCGTATACCCTTGTAGCTTGAATCAGGGAGCCAAATCCTAAATCGATCATAATTTAGCCAAAAATGCATTAATCTCGATTCGGAAAGCTGATCTGTGTTAGTTTTTATAAGGTTAACAAATCTGCATACTGGGTTTTTAAATTTTTTAAATTCAATTTTGTATCAAATTTTGACAATTTTAATGATGTAACCCCTTTCCTTTTTTTGAAAAAATTGAAAATTTTTAAAAATGTTGTTTTTATTCCTTAGATAGCTTGAACGCTTCGCCTGTTGATGCTGATCAATAATTTATATGATTTATTGGGTCGGAAATGACTCCTTCACAGATTTACAGCTTGTGACTGAAATTATAAAGCCATTTTTGACCCAATTTTTATATGCAAATTTGTTCTAAAATCACACTTTAAAAATCTCATAACTAAGCCAAAAGAGCATTAATTTCAATTCCAAAATCACTCCTATGTTAGTTTTTAGTATTTTAATAAATCTGGACACTCAATTTAAAAAGAAAAATAGGATTTTGATCAATTGTTGACAATTTTAATGATGTAACCCCCTATAAAATTTTTAAATTTTTAAAAATTTGAAAAATGTATTTTTCCGCCGGAAGTTCAAAGTAATAAAATAATACCCTCAAAGGGTATAATAAATCATTAGGAATTAATTTTTACAAATATAAAAACACAAAAGCTTCATGTTAAAGTTGTTTTGAATCGCCATACAAATTGGAACTGAAAGAAAGATGCAATTTTACCAATAAAAATTAACAACAAATGTAATCGCAGCAAAAAATCGTGAACAGAGGATGTATATGAATATGTTTGATATATGTTTTAAGTACTATAGCTATCCATATACAAGGAACGAGCATTAGGCAGAAGCAAATGCAGTTGCAATATTAAGCATAAGTGAATGTCAAAATATGTGATCTATTTAAGGTCCCGAAGGTGCGAAGCCCACGGGTTGAACCTTTTGTCGGATACTATCCCCTCTCTCTCTATCTCTATACGAATATATGCTATATAATCTATATATCTATATATATATATAGATGTGTCTGTCGCTTTTAGGTGATTGTAAACCGCGAAACTAAACTAACTAAGTAGATGCAACCAAACTAAACGAGCTAAGAGTGTACGTAGTCATCGTAACCAAATCGTGCTAGTCAAAACGTATGAAATACTATAGAAGAAACCAACCCTATTTAAGGAGTCTTTGTGAGAGGCTATATAATTCCAGCAGGCATCGGGAACCGAGAATAGAGACGACAGTGATTACCACTAGTCCTCGCCTGTGATCGGCTTGAGATCTACTTTATAGCTCTACTAATAACTAATGAACTAAACTAACAACTATTAATTAATAACTAATATTTGTATGCACAGAACGAGTGCTAAGCGTATTGTATTTACGTAGCAAAACTATAGCAATATTATATGATATTTCCCACAAGAAGCAACTCGATTGTGAGCACAGCACAAATATGAATTAATTGAACTCTGCGGAGACAGGAAGCGAATGAGAAAACATTTCGTACTCTGTTTGGATTGTATAAATATAAATATAAGCTTAAAGATAGACGACAGCAGTCAATTTTTGAACTCGAACTCAAGCAAAATACGAATATGATAAATAATATTTGGCAAATAATAATCGCACTCGGTTAAATACGATTAATCCGGTCCCACACTCACCTAGTTGTTGCAATGAAGTTTACTTTATCTGTGTGTACGTGTACAAAGCAAACTATAAAATATAGAGCATAAAAGTAAACGAAGGCATAAGCATAAACTAAATATAATATGTAACAGAACCTATATATGAAATATTTACATGTGACTAATGTAACTGTAACTGAATTGCTTAGACTTAACGTGTTTAAGAGCATCTCATTATTTTTATTACAGGTCTGCGTGTGCTAATCAAATTTTGGCTACTAAATGTCCAAAAAAAAAGATTAAGAAAGTTTTGCAACTATTTTTCTAGTTACTCTGTCGCTCGCTTGAAAATCAAAATCAAAAAATCGAAATCAATACCGTTACAAAGTCCTCACTTTGTTTAGTTGTGACATTTAATTGTGTACATTCCTTCGGAGTTTCGTTGCGTGTTTCTGTTATCCAAAAAACGATCTAAGAGAGTTATTCTCCATTTGTTTACCTAACTATGTAAGACTTGCAATTGAATCAAAAATAAATCACACCATTGGGAATTACTCTAAACTGGATGGGTTTTATTTTTCTTTTGCAGGACAAATTTTCTTAAAAATATTTTTTTTTTAAATTATAAATAAGTTTAAAAAGCACTAATTTTGATTCGGAAAGCGTTTCTGTTTTAGTTTTTATTAGAGTAGTATATCTGCATACTCAATTTAGAATTTAAAGAAATTAAAATTTTGGTAAATTCTTCGCAATTTTAACGATGTAACCCCTTATAAAATTTCTAAAAAAGGGCTAAAAATTTTTTCCCCATCTGACGTTGCCAGATCGAACCGTCTGTTCACGCTGATCACGAATATATATAGTTTATAGGGTCGGAAACGACTCCTTCACTATGTAAATGCCAAAAATAGGAAATTCAAATTTATTTTATTTAAATGTAAAGCATACTTTTCGGCTGCACTTATTTTCTATTTAATGGTGAAGCATACTTCTAGGGGGATTAGTAAAATATGTAAATCGACCTTCTGCTGCTTTCTGTTCGCCTGGTACTTCAGACCCAGAATGTATTAAATTGCCAACGACAGGGAATTGAAATTTTTTTTTTTTAAATGTAAAGCATACTTTTAGGGGGTTTAGTAAAATATGTTAATCGACCTTCTGCTGCCTTCTGTTCGCCTGGTACTTCAGACCCAAAATTGTTAAATTATAAGGTGGGATCGGAAGTGGCCACCAGTGATGCTCATTTAGCTATATTGCAATATTGGGAGAAAATGGCATCTTACTTGCCATCAGTGATGCTCATTTAGCTATATTGCAATATTGGGAAAAAATGGCATCTTACTTACCACCAGTGATGCTCATTTAGCTATATTGTAATATTGGGAGAAAATGGCATCTTACTTGCCATCAGTGATGCTCATTTAGCTATATTGTAATATTGGGAAAAAATGGCATCTTACTTGCCACCAGTGATGCTCATTTAGCTATATTGTAATATTGGGAAAAAATGGCATCTTACTTGTTATCAGAGATGCTCATTTAGCTATATTGCAATATTGGGAAAAAATGACATCTTACTTGCCACCAGTGATGCTCATTTAGCTATATTGTAATATTGGGAGAAAATGGCATCTTACTTGCCATCAGTGATGCTCATTTAGCTATATTGTAATATTGGGAGAAAATGGCATCTTACTTGCCACCAGTGATGCTCATTTAGCTATATTGTAATATTGGGAAAAAATGGCATATTACTTGCCACCAGTGATGCTCATTTAGCTATATTGTAATATTGGGAGAAAATGCATCTTACTTACCACCAGTGATGCATATTAGATGCTATTTCTTACTTGCCATCAGTGATGCTCATTTAGCTATATTGTAATATTGGGAAAAAATGGCATATTACTTGCCACCAGTGATGCTCATTTAGCTATATTGTAATATTGGGAGAAAATGGCATCTTACTTACCACCAGTGATGCTCATTTAGCTATATTGTAATATTGGGAGAAAATGGCATCTTACTTGCCATCAGTGATGCTCATTTAGCTATATTGCAATATTGGGAAAAAATGGCATCTTACTTCCCACCAGTGATGCTTATTTGGCTATGTTGCAATATTGGGAGAAAATGGCATCTTACTTACCACCAGTGATGCTCATTTAGCTATATTGCAATATTGGGACAAAATGGCATCTTACTTGTTATCAGAGATGCTCATTTAGCTATATTGCAAAATTGGGAAAAAATGTCATCTTACTCCCCACCAGTGATGCTCATTTGGCTATATTGCAATATTGGGAAAAAATGGCATCTTACTTACCACCAGTGATGCTCATTTGGCTATATCGCATTATTGGGAGAAAATGGAATCTTACTAGCCATCAGAGATGGTTATTTTGCTATACTGCATTATTGGGAGAAAATGGCATCTTACTTGCCGCCAGTGCTGCGCATCTAGCTATATTGCACTTGTAGGAGAGAATGGTAACTCGCTGGCCAGCAGTGAATCTCATTTATCTATTTTGAACTGTTGCAAAATGCAAAATGGCATCTTACTTGCCAACTGAGATGCGCATTTCACTGTTGGGAGAAAATGGCACCTTACTTGTCAGCAGTGATGCTTATTTAGCATTAGATCAATGTCGGTAGTAAAATGGCATCACACTTGCCACCAGTGATGGTTATTTAGCTATCTTGTACTGTTGAGAAATGTGGCGACCCGCTTGCCACCAGTGATAGATAACTAGCTATCTTGCACTGTTGTTAGAATTTGACACCTTACTTGCCAGTAGTAATGCGCGCCAGCATTCATCTTTTATTATCTTAGTAATAAAAGTATAATTTTAACCTCAACTCGTAGCAATCAAATTACTATTTTATAATAATTTTTTCTTAATAATTTGATTTACATTTCTTATATAATTAATAAATAATTTCAGGTTCTAGTTTTAAATTATCGATTACAAATTATCAGTGTTGGTAAACTCCTTTTTGGGGAGACGGTTTAAGTCTTCACTAAGCATTTATTCTAGTTCTTTAGCATTATGAAAAATGTATGCGCTGGTCACATCTGGCTTAATTTACCAAAACAAACCAACACGTGAAATATTGAAAACGTAAATAAATTATTAATTTCAAGGAATTTGTGTAAATTTAAAAGAAATATGTCATCAGAGGATGAACTGTCATCTGCCTCAGAGCAAGAGGAAGGCAGCAGTGAAGACGATACTCAGGTAGGAAAGGTCTAACTAACAATTCCTTGCACGGGATTTCAAAATTTACTTACCTTAATGAATTCCTACTTTCTCCTTTACAGAATGCCATTCGCCAAGACCTCAAAGGCATGACCTTCGAGGAGATCATGAAACTGAAAGAAGAACTGGGTGCCAAAGTCTACAAGGAAGCCGTCCTCGGGGAAAATCCTCAAGAACCAACAACAAACCCAAAACCAGGACCGATTTAAAGAGGCTCAACAAAAATCGACCTCGAGAGATGTCTTCGCGACGGCAGGTTCCGTTCCTGGGCGCCGAACATCGGGCTGAGCGAAAGAAGACAGCAGAGCTGAGGGATCCACGTTTTGACGAGAAATCGGGCACTTATAATGCCGAGACCTTCAAGAAAAACTATGAGTTTGTCACGCAAATCCGCGACAAGGAGGTGGGCCAGCTGAAGAAGCAGCTTGACAAGGTGCAGAATGACGAGGAAAAACACAAGATAAAGCACACCATGCAGCGACTAATCAACAAGAATGTGGAGGACAGGAAGTGGCAACAAAAGCAGAAGCAACTAAAAAAGGAGCGCGACAACATCCAGAAGAAGCACAACAAAGGAGAACTGCCGCACTATCTAACAAAGAGTGAGTTTCTATATATATTAATCAAATCTCTCACTATAATATCATTCTCCACAGAGGAACGTCGCGCCCAGGAGCTGGTGGCCCAGTTCGAGCAGCTGAAAGAAACGGGGAAACTAAACAAACATCTGGAAAAGCGGCGCAAGAAGAACGCTGCCAAGGACCGCAAGCGCATTGGCATAGAATAAGTCTTGTCTTCTTTTTAAGTATATTTTTAAGAAATAAAAACAAAGCTCTTAGTAAACTTAACCCGTGCGTAACATTTTGGCCTCTCTCTTTCCTGCAACTCGCGTCTCTGCTGCTCCACAATAAGTTTTCGCTCCTCCAGAAACTCGCCATAGGCCGCCGGATCGATGTCTCTGACCACCTTGATGCCACAGGTCCGGGCAATGCTAATTAGCATCACGCACATTTGCTAAGAATATTATTATTAGATTTTGTTATTCATTTGTTGATTTTTCCTTACCTCCATAGTGAGCAGGGCATTTGGCGGATCCTGAATCTTGATGGCGGCTATTTCGTACAAATGCTTCAGCGTGATCATGCCGGCCACCTCCTTGCCAGGCGTCATAGTGCCCCTCTGCAGGCCAGCCGCTTGTTTCAGGAAAAAGGTGGCCGGTGGATGATGTATGACCAGGTCGTAGCTGCGATCGCTGTTCACGGAAATCCTGCAGGGCAGAGGCACGCCCTCCTTCATTTCCGCTGTCTTGGCGTTGAAGTCCTTGCAAAAGGCAGCTATATTAATGGCGCGCTGTGTTGGGCAAAAGAGGAATTATTAATATGTATTATAAGCTATGTACAAAGCCGGTGGCTCACTCACCTGTCCCAACATGGGACCCAAGGGGGGACCTGCGGCTGCCATTCCTGCGGGTATATTCGTTCTCAGTTTGCTCGTGTGTGTCACTCGCTCCACTGTCTTCTTCAGGGATTTCAGTTTGCCTGCCGCCTTGGACATTTTAATTGATTTATTTCGGCTAAACAAATGCTTTTAAGTGTTATGCAAAGCAAAATGTGTTGGTGCGAGGAAGAAGAAGCAGCGGCACCAGCTGACGACGGTGATGCCACCTTTTTCAAATTCTGAAAGATTTAGCGGGAAAATATATCGATTTTAAATTTCGTATAAATAGAATAATATCCTGAAGCTCATTAGTTTTGTTTGTCACTCGCATTAACTTTTAAATAGAAATAATATGAAATCAACCGAAAATAACTGAGAACCTTATTCAATGCAAGCTAAATGTTATATAGCCAAATTAACGTAAAAATTGCCGACGTGCCCTTACTGCCGCGGCCAAAAGCTGTTTCCCACGCGCCTATCGGTAGCTATCGATAGCGATAGGTCGTGGGTGTTGCAGCTGCCGGCTTTGGCCAGTGTACAAAATTGAAATCAGCTGCTGCTGCCAACTGAGAAGTCAGAAATTAAATAACAATAACAAGGAACGACTCCTACTCCGGTTCACAGAGATAGATACATAGGATGACGTTGCGTGCCTCGCACCGCCTGCTGGCTATACTAAGACGTTGTACTACTTCCACCCACCTGGTCCAGCGAAGCAGCCACACAACATCGCACAGAAGCCAGGACAACGGGGAAGACAGTGGACGAGATCGTCAGGATGGCGAGCAAAAGGACAGCGGCCAGAGGAAGTTCGGGTGGCGCAGCCTGGTCCGCTTCTTTGTGCCCTTCTCCCTAGGGGCGGTGGCCAGTACGTTGGTGATCGAGCGAGAAGAGCTCACGCCCACGATAGCCGCCAGAGCGATGTCCAGCCGGAGGCGCGACTACAACTTCATCGCCGACGTGGTCGCCGGTTGTGCGGACTCCGTGGTCTACATCGAGATCAAGGATACGCGACACTTTGATTACTTCAGCGGTCAGCCCATTACGGCCTCGAATGGCTCTGGATTCATCATCGAACAGAACGGCCTCATCCTGACCAATGCCCACGTGGTAATCAACAAACCGCACACCATGGTCCAGGTGCGGCTCTCCGACGGCCGGACCTTCCCCGCCACCATCGAGGACGTGGATCAGACCTCCGACTTGGCCACGCTGCGCATCCAGGTGAATAACCTGTCAGTGATGCGGCTGGGGAAGAGCAGCACCCTCCGTTCCGGTGAATGGGTGGTGGCTTTGGGTAGTCCCCTGGCCCTAAGCAACACGGTCACGGCCGGCGTCATCAGCTCCACGCAGCGGGCCTCCCAAGAACTTGGCCTGCGGAACAGGGACATCAACTATCTGCAAACGGATGCTGCCATTACGTTCGGTAACTCGGGCGGTCCCTTGGTCAACCTTGACGGCGAGGCCATTGGCGTTAACTCGATGAAGGTGACGGCGGGTATAAGCTTTGCCATTCCCATCGACTATGTGAAGGTCTTCCTGGAGCGGGCGGCCGAGCGGCGTAAAAAGGGATCGGCCTACAAGACGGGCTATCCTGTGAAGCGCTACATGGGCATCACCATGCTGACGCTCACGCCTGACATACTGTTCGAGCTGAAGTCTAGGAGCCAGAATATGCCCAACAACCTCACGCACGGGGTGCTGGTGTGGAAGGTCATTGTGGGATCTCCGGCGCACAGGTACGACAGGATCTTACTTCAAAATTTCTTGACTAAATCTCTAATTCATAATTGTCTATCCCTTTTCTAGTGGCGGTTTGCAACCCGGCGACATAGTGACCCACATCAACAAGAAGGAAATCAAGAACTCCTCGGATGTGTACGATGCCCTGGCCGACAACAGTAAAACGCTGGACATAGTCATCCTGCGCGGCGTGAAGCAGATGCATGTGACCATCACGCCAGAGGATCCCTAATGAACGCCATCTCCACGCTACACACTAACCTGTTAGCATAGATCATAGCATGACCAGATTGTGTTCGCATGATTTGCAATATATATATATTTGTAACAGAAACGATCGATCCTGGGAAATATCTGTGACAATCCCACTTCTGCCTATATTTGTCTCTGACTAACGAGTAGGGAAATTTGCATAGATCCAGAGCTCGTTATCAGGGGCCATTATTATGGCGATAAGACCATAAGTTAATCTACGCATCGCAAGGCCCCAAAATGTAAGTATCTCTCCGACTGGGTCGATTGGGTCGTCCGGCGTCTGTCCATTTCCGAACATCATCGATTTCTCTTTCATGGAAGGCGCTGCGTGCGTGTCTCTCGACTCTCGTGTCCGTCCGTTCGATTGTCGTCCCATCCAACAACGACAAAAATGTATTTACGCTAATTGAAATATCTTGCGTTGCGATCAATCGATGCCATATTTTTTATAGGCCAAACCACAGCACACAGGCGGCTGCAGCAGCAAAAGCGCCGAAGACCGAAATGCAAATTTCAATAAATTTATGCAACTGTATTCCCACAAAAGCGCTTCACTTGGACGCCAGCTGTTTATACACTCTTTCGGGGAAATGGAAATGTTCAATTTATTTTAAAAGATATTTAAGATTATTGAATATTTACTTGAACTTTATGTTCAACAATTTTAATAAATGCTTATTTAAAGATGCATTTATGTCTTATACTTGTGGTTCTAGGAGTTAGATGATAAAATTGCTGAGAATATTGATATACAGATATGCAATGGGGATGTTCATATATTGAGAGGAAATGTCTGAAATAATAAATCGAAGTTAATATTTCAATCCAAATTATATAGAAATTATCGTAAATATTGTTTATGCCCTAGCTACATTTGTTGAGCAACATTTACTAAAGTATTTTGCCATGTTAGGTTGAAGTTCTTGAAGAGTATTTTAAATTATTGCCAAAGGAAGGATCATAAATTATCCCGAAAGCATGTACAATTTTTTATTTCATTATAGAATTCAAATCACTTTTAATTTTATACTTCATTTTAGAATTTAAAATGTCTTCACACAACATTCTAAATAATTACAAAGAGTAACCAGACTTCGACTAAAGTTATGCACACTTATTTTGGTTTATTTGTGGGTGACAAGGCAGACGATGCCGATGATGTTGCTGCTGTGCTGTTGCTGTTGCTGCTTTTGCTGTTGCTGTTGATGTTGCTGCCGCTGTCGTTGCGTGAAAAGTGAAATTCTTGTGATTATTAATTTTGTTTTCGCTTTTGGCGATGCTACGCTTTTTTAGTTTCTGCATATAAATTCGCATATTGATTCCGGCCAACTGGCCAATTGTGGACGACGGCGTTGTTTATGTGACAGCGGCCTTTATGACATTGTTGGCACTAAGTTACCTTTATTGCTTATAAGCCGCACGCATTAATGCAGCTTAAAGTTCATAAATTTGCCAATATTCACTCTCGGCCATGGGGTTAAGCAAACGTACCTCTCCTTTTCGATCGTGTAAACACTTTTTACTTTATTCGCTGGCGCCCCACGCTTTTTGTGCCTTTTTGCACTTTCTTTCTGCCATTTCTTCCATTTCATTTTGTGTTTCGGTTTTCGGGTCTCGGTTTTCAATCCCTGACTGCTGCTGCCTGCACTCGGAGTGCCGACTAATTGAAATATTTAAAATGCATAAAAGTATCGCATTTAAACTTTGCAATTAGTTTGTGGTGATCGCCGCAGTTGCTGTCGTGGGCACGGATATGTCGTTGCAGTTGCCTGCCCGCCGGTTAGTTGTTGTTTGTTTGTTTTTGTGGCGGCACTCTTAAATTACAAACCTGTGAGAAATTTAGCCGATGTTTTGGTTTTATTGTGACTTGAGGCATACACTAGCCGAAAGGGGGAGCTAAGCGACTATTAAGGAGGGTTGGAGTTTACACGGGAACCTGGGAAACTTCATTAAGTTGGTCTGGAAATGTGCTTTAGCTATGATGTTGCAAAGTCTAATGATTTATTTTCAAAAAAAGAAAGAAAACTAACTTCGAGAAGCAGAACTTTATACATCTTTGCAGTTTGTAATTAATTTCTAGGATCAAATCGATAATTTATCATAGCTAACCCTAAAATAATCACATTCTTTTCATTGATTTTTATATATGACTAATTTTGCAACTAATCAAAGATTAAAAAACTCATAACTAAGATAAAAATACATTAATTTCAAAACGGAATGCTTTCCCATGCTAGTTTTATTACGTTTATTAGGTTAATGAGTCTGCATACTTGAACTAAAATTTAAATTAATTTATTTTTTCCCAATTTTTGACAATTTTAACGATGTAACCCCTTAAAAATGTTGAAATTTTTGAAAAAATTAAATTTTTGTTATACTTATCGCCTGTTTATGCTGATCAAGAATAAATATGATTTATAGGGTCGAAAATACCTCCTTCACTGATTAAAATAATAATAACCTCTGCAAGATACTTAATATCCATATTTGTATATGAAATTTCTTTTATTTCACTAATCAAAGCTTAAAAAACTCATAACTAAGCCAAAAGAGCACTAATTTTAATTCGGAAATCACTCCTATGTTAGTTTTTATAAGATTAATTAATCTGTGTACTCAGTTTTAAAATTAAAAAGATTAGGATTTTTATCAATTTTTGACAATTTTAATGATGTAACCCCTTATAAAATTTTCAAATTTTGAAAAAAATTTGAAAATGTATTTTTTTATCAGACATGGTTAGATCGACTCGGCTGTTAATGCTGACCAAGAATATATATGATTTATGGGGTCGGAAATGATTCCTTTACATTTTTACAAGCTCCTGAGTCAAATTATAATACCTAGCAAAGGTATAAATTTTGGAGTCCAAATATGTTTATCTTGGTACTAACAATAAATAAATTAAAAGAAAGAGATTGTAATTTTTGGCTAATGCCATAAGGAGTTTAATTAAAGTCATAATAAAAATAGGAAACCATCAAAAGCTTTCGTCCGAAGAAATTGTGATACCAAAAAGTATCATAAATGCGAATGATTTTCTTAGTTAGTCACAAAGTTTTGTTATACGATTTTCTCATTATTTCTAACAGGGCATTTGGGCCTCTATATAAACGTTTTTCTGTTTGCCATTTGTAGATATTACTTTGAATTAAGATCACAAAGTTGTAGTTGCGGTGAGCAGGCAGCGCCATCAGTTTTGCGGCTGTGATCATGTTCACACGCTGCGCCAGTTAGGGGAAAAACAAAAAAAAATTAAATAAAAAAGCGGCCTAAAGCTAAACAGCCAAAGGCGGTAGGTAAGTGTTTGCGATTTGACTTGGCCTACACTTTCATAAAAGGCGGCAATTAATAATGGTTCGGGGCAAAAGGGCTGCTGCCCCATCAATCCGACCACGTTTAACGAGGGTCACTTTTGGGCCGATTTTGATTGAGTTATTAAACGTGGCTTTAATTGCGGCAACTGACATTTCGTTGCAAAAATCGTCGCATTAACCCAGAAATGTCAGTTGGAATGGACGGACATTGGTTTTCTGGCTGTTATTTTTTGTTTCCAGGTGACCCCATCAGACACCTAAATCAAGCGACTTTCTCGCCGCCGCTGTTCCCATGAACTGCTCACATTTAACAAAAAATATAAAAAACTGCATGGAGCTGCACAACAAACACCTACACCTACACCAATAACTACACCAGCAACTGCAACTGCAACGGCACAAGGCAACTTTTGTAATAGCAACAACGGCAACAAACACATGCTAAACATTAAAGTTCATGACACACAACTGTAAAATGTTTCAGCCCCGAAAACTTTTACCGCCGATAATAAATGGCTGCGACTTTGCGCCCCCAAAAGTTCAAGACATCATCGCGCCGCCGTCCCGCATGTGAGAAGTTCTCCTCAAAAAGAAAAAAATAAAGACGAACAAATGGACAACGGAGATGGAGCTGGAGCTGGAGCTGGAGCTGGAGCTGGGCAGGAAGTCTGGCATAGATGAAAACGAAGCCAAGAGCAAGAGATCGAGCTCGGGTTTGGGTTTGGGTCTCGGGCCGATGGCCAATGCCACGGGCCATAAATCACTTTAATATGCCAAAAAGTTACATAATAATTCTGCCAGTCGCAAAGCAAAGCAAAGCCCGTTGATCATCGCCTTGATCATTGACAACTCTGTGTACTGACTGACTCTATCCAATACAAAAAAATAAAAAATAAATAAAATAACATACTATATACGAAATGTGGGTCAATCTGTTCTTATGGTTGTATCAGTAATCCATTAATTGAGGTATTCCGTGGGCACATGATGTGTAATTAAATAGAAACATCATTTAGAAAATGCCAAACGAAGAAGATGTTTTACGTTCAAAGTTGGTGTACAATTATATTACGTAATCTTTGAGTTTATAAATAAATGAATAGTAGTAGATGTGGTTTTGCCTTAAATTTATATATATAAAAGTGATATATTTCCTTATATTTTGGTAGTTCTAAAACCTTTTTTATTACGCAATCAAATAACATAGTTCGAAGAATGAATTATAAATGATAATTAGTTTATAAATACCTTCATCTACAAAAAATATAATATTCTCATTAGGTTAAAAAGGGCAAGAATGTATATGATCTATAGTGTAATAATTATCAGACTTCTGACTACTCTGGGGGTATATATTAATATTATCAATACCCGCAAGGTTGGAATACTTTTATTAAATAAATATATAGATATCTTAAGCGTTACAATTATTATCAAATATTATTATTCGAGGTAAAATAATATACCCATTTGCCGTCATCAATCCGTTGACCAAATTGAAATGTGTTTTAATATGCCATTTTATGCGGCATGCCAAATTGTAAATATATATATTTGTATATATTTCTTTTCTGGCCGTCTAGTGCCCTGGCTCGATGGCATTAAATCAACAGATTCATAAAAATGAAAAACACGAAAAATTATGATGATTACGCGGAAATGTGTGGCAACTGTGTGCTTTTTGTGGCCACTGGGCTAAAATGTTTTATGAAATTGCACAAGTGTTGGATATTGCTAAATTATGGCGCTGGGGCGCTCA